CCTTCATTGTCAATAAATTTATTTGTGAAAGTGACCAAGCGTACTTTCTTCACAGATTTCTTTTCTTTGAAATACACAAAATAGGTTGGACTGTATTTATCGTATCCTATAAAAATCCCTTTTTCCGATCGGGGGTTTAACTTTTTTTTTCTTGAACATAAGCATAGCATATTGTACCAAAATGTTCAAATTTTCAACATTTGATTTAAGTCCCTTGAATGCTTGTACTATACTTATCTGCCCTTGGCGTTTTTTGTTATAGTAATTACCTCTCTTACTAGTATTCTTCAGTTGACGAATTGCTTAGTCAGGGAATGTTTCGTTAAATCCTTGTTAAGGAATACTAGTCTTGTCAGTTCATTTCAATTCCTCATAAGGAGTTGATTTCAGTCGGTGATTATAACATCTGTTACGAATGTAGCAGACACAGAGGAAAGCGTAGTTCGTGACTTAAATGAGATTCAATCAACATACATCTAGACATTCGAATAGTGTTCTCCACTCTCTTTCAGCGGTTCCATTTTGGTGAGGGGGAGTAAGGGGCCGATTTTTCGTGTCGGATTTTATGTTGAACAAGAAGTGATTTGAATTCTGTTGATGTAAATTCATAACCATTATCACTCTTAAGACTTCCGAAAGGAGCGCTATCAGCCAAGAATTGTTTCTTGTGGTGTCAATTGCGTTACTTTTACTTTTGAGGAAATATGCCATAACATAGCCTGAATAGTCGTCAATGAATGTTATAAGATACTTGAATCCATCCATACTAACGAGGTCTATTCCCCCAGCCAAATCACAATTCACTAGTTCTAAAGGAAATCTAGCTTTATCATCTGGCTATCTTGATCGCATATTTCGCATATTTTCCAAAGTACAAATTTTACACGGTGATGTGGAACTTATTTTTCCAGTGATATTCATTCCTTCAACAATAGTCTCCATTTTCAAAATATCAAGAATATTGCAATGGCCGAATATTTTGTGCCACGTGTTCAGGTCGTGTCTGGTGTTGTTGACACTTTCTGTTATGCATTTGTTCAGATAATACAATTTTCCTCGTTTCTTTATTTTAAATTTAACGCTATCTTTGGTAGTTAGTGTAGTATGGTTTTGTGAAAATTACAGCGGCCTACAGATAGATGATTTGATTGAAACTAGGTACGAATAAAATATGTTTCAAATAAAATCTTATGCTTTTTTCCATTTGTATCTTGCAAAGTTATTTTAGAGGTTCCTTTCTTTAACGTAATATTATTTTTCTTTTATCTATCGGCAAGCTCAATTTATATTTTCTTCTGGATTAAAATCATGTTCAAATTTAACAATTTTTTTCATCATTAATAATATGGGCAGTGGCCCCACAATCGACTAATAATTCGAAGTTATTCGAAATAATGTAAGGGTTTATTCTTACCTTGTAATATAAATAACTTTTTTTTTCTTCAACATTATTTATCTGCTTTTTTCTACAAAATTCCGTGTGTCCTCACTTCGCAAAATTTACACCATCTGCTTTTAGTACAGTTTCTGGTGAAGTGACCATTTTTATTGCACCGAAAACACGAGGAAGGGTCTTTCTTGCATAATGTTTTCATAATGGATTCTTCCTTTTTGGGTTTGGTGTTCTCCTCATATGCACGGAGTGATGCCTTGAATTCTGGAAGGGTTTGTGGTGTTTCTCTTTGGGTAACTATCGCCTTTAGAGTGTTGAAACGAGGTGGGAGTCCTTTCAGCAGTATAGCTATCACTAATGGCTCTGAAATTGTCTCTCCACAATTTCGTAGAGCGGCGATAGCTTTCGGCGCGTATAACATAACAGGTGATGTCTTCATCCTCATGTTTATCGAGGGTTGAAAGTTCTGTGTACAAAGCAATAATATTTGGTTTGCCTTGTGACAAATAATGCTCCTTTAAAATTTTCATCTCTTTTCTCCCATCGTCTTTTGCGTCCCGCATGATTAAGGCCAAGCTTTTGTCGTCTAAAACTTGGATTAGTTCTGCGAATATGTCTTCATTTTTTCTTGGGTCGACTTCATCATCTTCCTTCTTCAATTCGGCTTTCAACTTTAATCTGTGTAGATGTCCAATAAATTTAATTTCAAACATCTCGTAATTGTTTTCATCGCCGTCAAACACGATCCTGGGCCCATAACCTGTTAAGTTAGCCATATCCAAATATACGGTGGTCAAATTGAAATAAGGAAGATCAACAATTTATGGGAGGAAAATAATACGTTTATTTATTAAAGATTAACATAAGAAGAGAGTGAAGGGAAAAAAGAAGAAAAGTAATTTTAAAAGGGAAAAGTTCCAAATGAAGGGGGCGCATAATCAGGATGTCAAATTTTATCTTTAACAAACAGTACTTTTAGATCAATTGAGGGTAAAATCATATTTTATTCCGAGATTATCCACAAAGGAGGATCACTGATTTTTTTTTTTTACTAATAGTAATGCTAACTAGATGTCCATGGTTAGTAATTAAAATGAAATTTCTAGTTACTATTTTTTACATTTCTAGAAAGATAAAACCGAGAAAGTGATCGCTTAAAAAAATAAAAATGTTTAAAAATTTCAACACATGAAAAAATTTCCCGTAAACTGAAATACTATTTTTAAAACAAATTTTTAAGACAGTCCCGTTTGTTTTGTTTTGGAATCTTTGTAAAACTTTTATTTCAGTGGAGATGCGTCGTCGATTAATCTTTATGGAAATGTAAAAATTTGCGACTTGAACATTTTTTTTTCGGGTAAAATTTAGTTTAGGTGGTTATTAGAAAAAGAATAACATTTTCTAAGATTTTTTTTTAAAATAAAAAGTCCTATTCATTATAAAAGTAAATGATTAAGGAATATGTACTGAATTGTTCATCTAAATTGGATAATTCCCTGATTTTTGGTAATTTAAAAAACGCGCTGTCCTTCCCCTCAATTTTCCTTCGAGAGTTTGTGATCCCCGAGTTGGGAAACTTTGAAATCGACATGTAGTAGAGAGAGTGACCCCGTATCAAAGTTTAGGGTGGGGCTGAGACCCTAGCACTGGCCTGGCGGGTATAGTCAAACAATTGGGTCAATTACAATACATTTCAGTTAGAAATAGTTGGTTACACTTATCTGTCATTCAAACAAAGGTTGTTTGTCTTGGGGGCCATCTGGAAGGTTCAAACACATATCTTCTCTTGAGAGATGGGCATTCTCATTTAAACTGGTTTGAGCACCATTCCTCAGAGGCAGCTAAAGATGTCTGTCTCCTTTGATATCTTGGGCTGCACTGAAATTAGCATTTGTAATTACATGCCAAATAAGATTTGGAGCAAAAACTGGGTTATACCATTAAAAGTAGTTAATAAAATCTTCCAAAAGCAGCAGGAGAAAGTGAAGATAACCTAATTTTGTATACTTTTCCTACCACCTTTTCATGATACACTCTTCATTATGAATATTAATTTGTTAATTGTTTTAATCCATCACTTTATTGTGGCTTTTTATTATGGCACATTGGCTAAGTGAATTCTTAAATATTACTCTTATTTTATAACTAGTTTTAATCTATCTTATCATCATTGCTATTTACCCAACAATTTTGTTTGATACACTCGTTATTACTATTAAATTATTACTAGTTTTAATCCATGTTATTATTGTTGCTTCTTCTCCATACTCACATTAGATACATTCTTCATTATTATTATTATTATTATTATTATTATTATTATAGTTTTAGTTTTACTCCTCTTTATTTTTGCTGTTTTTTCAAAACACTTTGCCTAGGTATACCCATCACACATACCAAGTATTAAACATATTATTTGGAGTAACATTTTTAATCATTAAAATATTTCTTTTAAACTCTAAATATGTTATATAAATTATTTATGCAACCTACACATTTGAAATTTGAAAGAAAATTGTAATTAGTTCTCATCAATGCAAAAACTTGCAAGTTCTTGTTTAAAATTTATTTATAAAAATGTACCAAAGTTGGGACTAAAAAAACATAGTCAAAACTCCCCTTTAAGAAGACTGTTTTATAAAATTACTGCTTTCAAGCAATGGCTATAAAATTATTTTGTAAGGTAAATCATTGCTAGTGAATTTGATCTTTATTTTATGCACATCTAGTGTGGCATTGTGCTGAGTTTTATATCTGGAAAGGAAACACTCCATAAATTATTGCTGGGTTTGCAGTTTATTTTGAATTCATCAAAAATTCTTTATGTATTTGAGTCTGTTTTGTTAATTTAAGTAAACAATATTTGTTTGTTTTTGATTTTTCACACAAATATAACCTACTTTAAATTATTGAATTTTACATATTAGATACATCTTAGTATTTTATTATGTCACCTGATGTTAAAATTTTTAGTAATTCTAAAAGATAAAACCTACCATAATCTCAACCCTGTATTGCATTTATTCAGTAAATCTCAAAATAGTCATACATGTATTTCATTGTCTGGCAACAAAAATGGAAGTTTATTTCAAATCATTATTACAAAGGACTTGGTCCATTTGTTTATCCCAAGATGTAGAAAACATAACAGGTACGTGTCAACCATTCTAATTTACAGTTTATTATATTGTATGATGAATATGTTTTTATCAAAGAAACCTTGTCAGAGGCATGAAAATTTGTATAAGTTAATTCAATCAACATGAGGTAGTATAATTATACCAAGTCAAAACTGCAAGACCCAATAGTGTAAGAGTTCAGTATTTTAGTGTTTAGTCGTTTAATTAATTCTTACATACTTATTATCAACTTTATATGTCATCCTATTCCCAATAAAGATTTTTAAAAATTTAACGATCTCAAACACTACATTAGTTTCCAATTTTCTGAATAAATCAGGGGAAGACAACTTGTGTGCTCATGGAATTCGCTGAATCATGACTGTTTTTTTATGTTTGGAACTCTCTAACGTTTAAAGCCTTGAAAATTTGATTCAAGGTGGGTAACGAAGATTGTGGTTCAAGTTTGTCTACAAATATCCAACACCATGCCTAAAGATATCGGCGCTTACTTGGCTGAACAACAACGGAATAGCTCAGGACAAACAACTCTTAAATGGACAGAACTAGAAGAACTGTATAACAAAAAGTAAGACTCTCACTGATTTGTTTATATACCCAACTTTTCTTGACTTGTTTCTTAAATAAAAGGCCGGTCCTTTCTTTGTTTTTTAGAAGGAAGAGAAAGTAATAGTATTTAAATCAGGTTTATATTTTCTTTGCATTAATTATAGTATTTTTAATACCTTTTATTGTGAGACTTTATGGTTTATAAATAATAATGTCAATAATTCTCGAAAGAGTACTCTGTATCGTGAGATTCGCTATTGTTTTTTTCGTGTTTTTTTTTTTTCTTCCACCAAAATTGTCCCAAAATACGATTTAATATTAATAATGTTATAAAATAGCTATTAGTTTTAAACATTTCATTGAATTGTTAGTAACTTTTTAAAATTTTCCATTAAAAAAATAGTAAAAAATACGAATTTTTATTCTTCAGTGTCTGGCGATGCTTTTTTTTTTTTTTGCTTTACACGTTTAAATTATAACAAATATGTCTCTTCATCTAAAAATTTTCTTTAATATTTTTCTTCAAAATCTTTAGAAGACAAACATTAAATTGTGTTTCCTATTTTCTCCCAAATATTGAAAAAGTTAGGAAGCATTTTAATCTTCATTTTCTTTACTTTTTCAAACTCGGTAAAAAAAAAAAAATTATTAAACAACTTTCTCTGAATGATTGATTTATTCAGATTTATTTAGGTACCTCCACGAGATAGCTAAAAAAAAGCACAGCATGATGAAAAAGACGCCAAACTTGACGAAAACAAAATTTTATCGTCTAAATGTTTATGTTATTATTAAGAGGAAAGATCAAAGTTTGTTTTTTAATTATTTTCTAAAAATATTTCCTTCTTTTTAGAACAATCTGAATTTTCATTTAAAAATCTTTATTTCTCTTTGTATCACCGGAACTAATAAAATAACAATTGAATGACACATTAATTTGGAAAATCTTGCAAAAATAAAAATAAGAGTCGGATGTTTATGAAACTTTCAGAAACTATTCACAGATGATCGAAATTATTATTATAAATATATTTTTTTTTTTTTTTTTTTTTAGCAGAAATATTTTTTTATATTTATTAAATAACAAATTTTATGAAAACTCTAGAAATTCGATCGAGTCCAGTTTACTAATTAATTACAATAGTTAAAAATACAAATCATGTTTTTTTTTTTTTTTGTTTGTTTGTTTGTTTTTAATTGGACCCCACTACCTGAAAATCAGCTCTGAATTGTAACATACAAAACTCAATAAAACAAAGATATCATTTAATAATTTCAAATGCTTTTATTTGCTTTTATGAATATGGACAATATTTTCTGAAAGCAAAAAATTTTTGATGAAAAATGAATTTTTAATAAAATTGTTTTTTAATTATAATAGATTTTTACATTTAAGTTGTTAAAATATTATAAAATTAGTTAAAAAAGTAAGTGTCCTTATGAGATAGATCTTTTTTTAGTGCGTTGTAAATTGTATCGTTTTGACTAATCAGAAGATCTGCAGTAATTAAGAAATGTAATTTTGTGTTTATAATCGGGCTCTAATTATAAAGTACGGAAGACCAACCAGAATACTATTTAGTTGCGTTATTTGAGTTAAGCATTGTTCTCCGCTGTTAAGGCCTTTACTTTTGCGAAACACGTGTGGAGAAGTTTATTTGATTTTTCAATTTCAACTCTACAAGTATAAGTATCATCTTATGAAATTTATATGATCTTATTTTTATATTAATTTCAGTTATGGCATTCTTTCTATAAATGAAATATCAAAATTAATAATAAAATGAATGGAAATACAAATAACACAGTAAAATGTAGTAAATGTACATAAAATTATAGTATTTTATGTACACTTCTGATAAAATTTCATCAGAAAGTTACCTATAAATTAATTAGATACCTTTTTAGGAAATATGAAATTTAATCTCAGTCTTAACAGTCTTATTTTAATTTCTTTATAATATATTTTTTTGAAACTAGTAAAAAATTTTTTAGCACGTTTTTTTTTTTTTTTTTTTTTTTTTAAGTACAAAAAAAAAAAAAAATTAGAGCACTGAAAGTTTTTCCTTAAAAATAATGAGGTAAATAATTTGTTCACTTAAATTAAATTATTTTAATTGCATTTTTCTCCAGCCATAGAACAAATTATCCTAACGGAATCTGTCAATATGTCATTCATCACCTGTTAAGCGACACAAAAGTTTATGACCTGCTTTGTTTTATTTTCAAATTACATCTTTTCGCCACAGAAGCCAAGTTAAGCTTGGTTCAAAATATTTTAAATAAACATTATAATTTCTGATTTTCTTAAAATAAGTTTTGAAAAAATGTTAAATGATTTTTAAAAGAATTTCAAACTGAGATTTTCATTTTTTTTTTATAAAATGGAAAAAAAATGGTTGCCATCTGTTAATTTTGCTGACTCAAGAAAAAAAAACAAGATTTTTAACAAAAATTTTGGATGTGCTAGGAACGATTAATAAATGTAAAAATAATACCCCCAAAATACTTTGAACTTTCCTCTTAATAATAACATAAACATTTAAACAATAAAATTATCTTTTCGTCAAGTTTGGCGTCTTTTTCATCATGCTATGCTCGTTTTTTAGCGATCTTATGGAGGTACCTACCTATCTAAAATACATCATTCCTCCTCCCCTAAAAAAAAATCCCATTTTACTTCTGCTACAAACAACCCTTTTTTTTAAATTCACACTTAAAACAAAAGCCAAAATAAAGGAAATTGAAAATTAGAATTTAATTTCACTAATGCATTTTTGTTGAATTTAAACCATATTCTCTCATAAACTTCCCACTTTTTGACAATGTCAAATGTCAATCAAACCATTGTTGTTGATTTATGCCACAAAATAACTGCAGTTGTAAAAGAAAAGAAAAAAATTCTGATTTACTAAATGTGCTCGATAATCTAATCAATTCGGTACGTGGATGAAAAACTGGACAACACGGATTAACTTTGGTAATGTAGAAATTTTTGATTCTTTACTAAGCTTAGTATGGCAGAAGGCCAAATAGAAATAAATAATGTAGTGGGAAGATTGTTACGCCAACAATCTTTCAACTGGTGTGGGTGTAACAGTCAGCAATGATAGTTTCAACTGAAAAAGCAGATCACAAGCCGACAAAAATTTGAATCCTCATTTTTTTTTTTTTTTTTTTTCTGTTTCAATGATCTATTCAATATATTAAAAAAAAATGCATAAAATAAATACTGCTTTCTTTAATATTTTTCAACCAGTTAATTCTGCAGATTAACAAATAATTCTCAGTAAAATTTAGCTTTTTTTAATCAGTTGTAAGTTTGTTTTCTTTCTAAGTTATGCGACATCCATTTCTAAATCTCCGATTTACTCGACTTTTCGTATCTTTCTGTTTTGTCTGCTTTCAATCGGTTTTTACTGGCATGTCATTAATGGCAAATATTTCACAAACCTTTCATAGCGCGCTAACTTTTTTTTTTATGCATATATCAAAGGACACCTCATACAGTGAAAGTGATTGAGGAAGCTTCCTTTCAGGAATCTGTTGCACAAAGTAGAAGCTGGAAAATATTTTTAAAATTGTAAGAATTAACCCATAGTTGGGTGAGAAGAGATGGATTCATACCTTTCCCACAAGTATTTACATGTAAGTGAATATAGTGAAACTGACTGAAATTGGAACTCTGCTCCTCAATTTGCAATTCAGAGCTGTTATCACACCATCTGCACATTCAAGCTTACAGCACCTGGCATTTCCAAGTGGTCACCCATCTAGGTACTGACAAGGCTTGGTATTGCTTAACTTATATGAGAACCGGTGTTTCAACATGAGATGTCTGTAAGCCTTCTGTGTATGTGACATGGTGAGTCCTAACTGTAAACGTCTGAACTTGTGAAACTAAAGTATGTCTGAGCATTTATTGTGAAAATAACAATAGGCTTGCAACATTTCATCTGTTAGAAAGGGGCTGTAGGATTAAAAATAATTAACTGCCCACAAATGGTCTTGAGCTCTGCCAAGGCTGGTAAGTAAGGATTTGGCAGCTCCCGCCCAACTATGGCAGTACTATTTTATTTTTGGTTGAATCAGTCTCATGCAAAGGGTAGAAGAGGTCAGGTACTTGATATTGGATTGTCTATATGAGTTCTACTTGAAATCTGGAATGAACATAGACTTTCAAGTCTAGGAGCTTCATTGTGAGTACAACCACTAGAGAATGTTCATGGTGATGAAACACTGGTTTTTGTCTGCAATAGTATTTAATGAAGTTGCATCAAGTTAATGATTTGTTGCTGCATGTTTCTAATCAGGACACTGGGTACAAACTGGAGATGAACAAATATATTTTTCTTTTTTTCCTTAGTTACTGTAGAAGCATTTTAGGTGTGTGGAAGTTCCTATATGAGTCAAGGGGAAGACTTGTAACACTCAGTAGACCCTCTCGAAACTTTTAGGTTTTCAACTTCACATCATTGCCCTATCCCCAGAGAGGTGGGAGGACATGTCCCTACTGATGCCTGCCTTTAAGGCCTCAAGATTCTAACTGCAACTAATTCCACCTGCATTTACACCATTGTTTAAATAAGAAAATTGAGGCATTCCAGTATATTTCATACTGATCCTTAAAATCATGAATCAGATATTCATGTCTTTGACTGTAACTCACTCCTAACAACCTAATATTTTAAGTGTTTTGTAATCTAGATTTAAATGAATTGCACATTCTTATTTAATTAAGAAATTGTCAAACTTTGCATTTAACCTCATTTTTTATTGTTTTAGGGCATTAACTCTTTAATCAAACACACTATCTGACCCATGTCTGTCAATTCCTTGAGTATAGTCTGTATGTAGAGGGAGGCGTGATCAGGCAGCCTTCAATGTTCAAATATTATTCAGATTTAATAAGTTTCCTTTGGTTATTTCTGAATTCAAATCCAATGCTAGCATGATTTAGTGAATAAAATTAATTTTACAAATTTTTTGAAATTATTAGGTGTAAAACCTACTCATTTT